AAAGCTGTTCCCTTTTCATGGTAGATTTACATTTATACATCGATTTATTAACTATAGAAGCCCCTTTCTGCCACCGAATAAAAATTTTTAAAAAAGTAATCGTGACTTTTTTCTCGCAGTATCTCACAGAATTGTGAGATAAAACCGTCAGTTTTGAGAAATAAAGTCATAATTGTGAGATATAAACTCGCAATTGTTTTTTCTCGGAATTGCATGAAACTCACAATTGCATGTTATAAAGTCAGAATCGCGGAAAAGTTCAGAATTTGGAGATTTAAACTCGAAAATCTGAGAAATAAAGTTATAAATTGATTTTTTTTTCTCAGAATTGCAAGATGCAAAATCACAATTGTGAGTTATAAATTAGAAATTGCGAGGTATGAACTTAATTATAAGAATAGCTTTTTTCCTTCAGAATTGGACTTGATAACTCGCAATTGTGTCAGAATTGTGAGAAAAAAATTGTGAGATATAAACTTGTAATTGTGTGTTATAAAGTCTGAGGGAAAAGAGACTATTTTGTTACAATTTAGTTTAGATCTTGCAATTCTGAGAAAAAAAGTCAGTATTGCCAGATGTAAGATTGCAATTGCAATTGCAAAAAAAAAAAAATGGCGGAAACAGGCTTCCATAAATAATCAACTTTGAAGCAAACGCCAATGATTATGCAAACATGATCTCTCTTCTTTTTTGTGTGTTCGTAGTCGTCACAGTGCTAAATGTGCAACAATTGTGTTATTATTACTTTACTCCATTCCTTTTTCTTGCAAAAAATGAGACTCTGCACACCTTAAAGGGGTCATATGATGCGATTTCAATGTTTCCTTTCTCTTTGGAGTGTTACAAGCTCTTGGTGCATAAAGAAGATCTGTAAAGTTGTAAAGACTAAAGTCTCAAATCCAAAGAGATATTCTTTATAAAAGTTAAGAGTCAGCCACACCTACCTAAAACGGCTCGTTCTAACACGCCCCCACATGTCTACCTCACTATGTGGGAAGATTTGCATAACGCCGCCCAAATGTTCACGCAAAGAAAGAAGAGAATAATGTACAGTATGTGGAAAATAATGTGTTTTTTGAACCTTAAACCGCATAAACACATTGCATTACACTAAATACACAAAATAATGGTCTTTTTAGCAATGTCATATGACCCCTTTAAAGTGGCGATGAAATACAGCATGTCGCATGTAAAGCTGTGACTGCCACAAAGGCAGGAGGAGCTCTTACATGTGTCAAGCATGTCGCATGGAAATAATTATTGGGCTGCTAATACTGGCTGGAGTCCTTTAATGCCGCAGCAGGTTTGGAGGCATTAATGCGGCTCCGTCACGCTGCGTTTCCACAGAATTGCAGCTCTCTATAGTTGCAACGTTTAAAAAGTGTAAATATGTAAGTATAAAATGGTTAGTTGAATAAAGGCCACGTTCACACTGCAGACTGATACGGGTGTCACTCCTCTTCACCAACATTGCAAAATAATCCTTTTCTTCCTCAGTATTTTTGTCGTTTTCCAGTAGAGTAAAAGAATCAAACTACTAAGATATTAAGTTTTGTTTTCTGAAAAATTTATCAAAATTGAGCTCATACTTAAAAACAAGAAATAAAAATGGAAACTTGTTTCCATCATAGAATAAAAACACAAAAAATGTAATTGCACATTTTTTATCTAAATTTTCTGCCAATTTTGATAAAAAAAAGTCAGAATCGCCAGAAACTCAGAATTCTGTCTCACTCACAATTCTGATTTTTATATTGTAGTTTATATTTATAATATATACTATTATAGTTTATATCTTGTAATTGCCTGTTTTATTTTTTTATCCCGTAGCGGAAACAAGCTTACATAAAAATACCTACTATACCAATGAGGTAAGAAAAATTAAAACTTAATTCAAAATGAATACAAGTTTATTTTTCTGACCTCATTGACATTTTTTTCTTGCTTTAAGCAAAAACCATTTTGATAATTTCTCATTTAAAAAAAAAAAAATGTTCAGAAAACAATATTTAATATCATATATTTTCTGCATCTCAAATAAATGTATCTTGATTTAAGAATGTTTCGATATTTGCACTGGAAAACAAGACAAAAATACTGAGGAAGAAAATCTTTGTGTGTGTGTGTGTTTGTGTGTGGTTTAGAGCATTGAATTCACAGATTGCACCACTTTTGTGCACCGTATTTTAGTGCATGTTTCCTGCTATTTAATCTGCATTATTCCTTTAGTAAATTGGGTGCTAAAATACATTAATGTCTTTATTTATTAACATTTCTTTTGTCCGTAGCAGCAAACACAAACGGGTTAGACTGCTAATAATCATGTTTCTAGTTTATGAGACGCCAAATTGTTGCTCAAATTCATTACGAGTGATGAACAGGTTATGCAGTGTGTACGTGGCCTGACCGAATTTACAGGTGCAAAACACGACCTTATAAGCTGGAATGTTGCACAAACATGTTGAAAAGTGCATACGCAGTAAGCGTTGACCTTTTAAAGTCCATAAACATCATTGCTCTTTAACTAGTACTCTGACTGTTAGTCACACCATTATGACTAAAGCTGAATCAAGAAGTTCATTTTGCACAAATTTGAATAATTAAAAAAAAAGGATCATGTCTGGATTTTTACCATATGATAACTGCAAAGGCATGATGTGTCACTGGACGTCATGCACGTCTGTACACATTCCATTCGCTTCTGATTTATTAAATAATCTGTTGCTAAACAGGTGTGTTACTGTACAAATCTGAACTCATTTTACTTCTTTATTCGATCCATGTTAACAGTGCAGAGCCAAACATTGCTATTGTTCAATTAGCTCTTGCACTTATAGAAAGCAAAATTCATTGATATTTTACAACAAACTGGCAAAAAGAGAAAATACCGTACACAAATGTCGAGATTATATTATTATGTTGAACGTCTGTTGTACAGAAACCAAATGGACGGACATGAACAGGAAGAGCAGTATTACTATTCAGATACGCAGGCCAGGAGAGTAGTGCACTTTGGGAAGGTTCTCCACTCCAAATCGAAAAGATGTTTGAGAAATGCATTAGCTTCATCAACAGCACTTCACTTTGAAATGCTAAAGGTCTGTTCATACATAATGCATTCTTGCATTTATAAACAGCTAGAAAAGACACTTTAAACTTGTTTTTATCCTTATGTTGTTACCGGTTAACCTGCTTTTCTTGAAACTGTGTGATTTTTTTCTCATTTAGGGTCATGAACATGCACGCAAAGTTTTGACACTGGTGTGTTTTGGAATGTGTACAAAATTTCACAAACTTTTCAATTTTAATCCATTTCATGGTTAAAAGCAGGTGCTCAGACCCAAAATAAAAATAAATCTGTATTTTGTTTGGTATTTGCATTTATTATGCATTTGGCAGATGCTTTTACTTGAAGAAACGTATACGCTGCGTTGAAGGTGTACATTTTTATTAGTTAATGAATATGACTTTTGTTGGAAATCGAACCCATGATCCTGCTGTTGGAAGTGGCATGCTTCTAAAATTTGAGCTTTAGGAAAGTATACACAACAATACAAAAAATTAAAATAGAAAATAAATAAAATTATAAGTGTAAAAAAACAAAACAAAAAACCATCATATGTTCTCGTGAACTTTTTCATAATGCACGAGAACTTAATTTTAAAGGTTTACTGTTTTGACCTGATTTTGTTTTTCATAAAATTATTTTTTTTTGTGTGTGAATAGTATATTGAATCTAATTTGGAGAATCTAAAGTAGTCCTGTTGTTTAAATAGTAGTGCAAACAACGACAAGGTCATGGGTTTGAATCTCAGTTAATGCATTAACTGATCAAATGTATACTTGTATACATGTATACAATGTATACAAAAAAATGCAGCGCTCATGCAACAAAATACAGAGATGTCCATCTAGCACAGACAGACAATAAAAAAAAAAAACAGCACGTCCTGTGCGAACATCCTCTAACAGTTCAAAGTAAAGTTTGGGGTGTTTTCATGATCAGTTAGTGAGTGCAATTCGTTCTAAGATTGTCATGGGCCTTAGGATGGAACAGTGAAAACAGATTCATTTCCAAACGTGGACGAGTGAATTTCTTTCTAATGCACAGTAGCACCAGTGCAAGCGTATTGCCTGTATTTAACACTCAACGCACATGTAAACACACACAGACGTGCACGAGACTCGCAGTTATCTGCCGTTAGTGATGGTGTTCATTGCTTTAGCTCAGTCCCTGCAGTGAGTGAATGTGCACCATCAGGCTGCAACCGCATCGTCAGTGCGATTATCGTTATTTCTAGGGATGCACCCATACGAAATTTCTTAGCTCATACAATAGCCGATTATTCAGAATATCTGCCGATATCGATAATGATTATTCAGAATGATATCTGCCAATACCAATAACCAATTATTCAGAATGATATCTGCCGATACCATAACCGATTATTCAGAATGATATCTGCCGATACCAATACTGATAGCTGATTATTCGGAATGATATCTGTGTAAACCGACTTCCGATTATTCAGAATGATATCTGCTGATACCAATACCAATAGCCGATTATTCGATTATCTGCTGAAATCGATAGCTGACAGCAATACCAGCAATACCAATGACCGATTATTAAGAATGATATCTGCCGATACCAATACGATTATTCAGAATGATATCTGCCGATACTGTTTATTCAGAATGATATATGCTGAAATTGATAGCCGATTATTCAGAATATATGCAATACCGATAGTTTAGTTTTCTTAAGGAAAAAACTAATGCTATAAACTATACAGGGAGCCTTTCATTTGGTACATCATATTAGAGCTTAAAATTAACAACAAAACTATATTCAATGCCTATTATTTTCAGATATACTCATCACACTCAAATTAAAAACGTTTGTATACAACGCAAGATAATTTTCATAAAAACTTGTTTTCATGAAAGATTTATTCAAACATATAATTAACAGCAAATAAGCTCCCTCTAGTGTTTAACTTTCCTGAGCTAAATGCAACGTTAAGTGACATTGCTCATAACCTTTTCATAACGTTTTATTTGACGTTTTTTTCCGTTAAAACACTGATTGAGGGATTACATGAGACATGATCAATTTTGGTAGGTTATACTGTATCTTTCAACACCTTCAGATTTTCATTCATTTAAATTTAGTGCGAAAAGACTCGGTGCTGCCCCTTAAACTGAAGCACTACAGCAATACGTCACGCCACACTTAAGAGCGTCAAAACGGCATTTATTGTTTGAATTTAATAATAAAATGTACATGATTTGAAAGCTGAGACTTTGTTTTTTTATCAGAAGTAACATAGCACAAAGATCTTTGCGATTATTGGATAGGAGGTGCAATACAAATAATGTTCTGTGAAATGGAAACTGGATCTGGTAACCCTGGCTTGAACTATGGGTGATTTATAGGGTTGCTGATTCAACAGCGCTGCGTTAATGCGTTATTATTGCTTTAACGTTGACAGCCCTAAATTCAACACAAGACAAGTTGCTGTCTGACATGTTTTTCTGCCACCTTTTGATTGGCTATTTTTAAATAATCGGTCGTTGGCTGATAGTGCAGATAATTATCGGCCGATACATCAGTGCATCCCTAGCTACTATTGTGGGAATTATTGTCATTGTTATTGGGAGTGCAGCTGGACCATACCATAGCCAATAATGTGGAAGATTGCAGGAAATGCGAAATGCCAGCTTGGTCTCGATAATGCGTGATTGTGCGTGAGAGGGCATTTGGTTTGTTCTCTCAGATAGACACATATTTAACTGTACAAACATTTGTATATAGGTAGCTACACAAACAGTTCGTATTAATTGCCTTTTGAAGTCCGGACGTCGTTCGCATGCTGTCGATGTGGGAATGTTACACGACATTCCTGATGGAAAAAACTCAGATTTGACTGAATTGCTCTCAGTCCCACATGGAAGGTCAAACCAGCCAAAAATGAAATAATTTAAATAAACATGAAGAGCCGTTCCCGTCTCGTTCTCCTCTTTGTTCTTTTTCCATCTTGAAGGCTGACAGCGCCAACCTGCAAAAAAAGAGAGACAAAAACATTCAACATCAGTCCTGATGTGCACTTTTAAGAACTGTAGTTCTGTTGTGACAACTCTCGGAGGGATTGGCATGGTAATGTACATGACAATGTTAATGTATTTGGTCTTGGCGGAATAGATCTGCTACGCTGCTGCTGCGGCAGAGAAAGTACCGAGACTTGCTACTCCCAATACATCCACAACATGCTGCTGTGAGCATGTAAGAAATACTGCTGCTGCAAATATAACATACATGAAATAACCCCCATATAGCGTACATGAACACCCCGTAGCAGATCTATACAGGTGGAGCTGGGGAAGGTGGAGGGTTTCTGAAGCAAGCTGCAACTGCTACGGCAAGCACTAGTCATATATTTGAATGTTGAGCAGCGAGCTCATTGGCTACCGATACAGGAGAGAACCAATCAGCTGTGCCATGTGATAATGATGTCATTAGGTCAGATTGAGTTAGACCTATCGGACTGCGCCATCTAGAGTTTCATGCCAGAACTCTGTATTTTAAGACGAGACACTACAGGCAAAACATTGATTTCCATGCACTGGTCAATTTTGAGATTTTGGGTTGTTTGGCTTTCCATAACATGTTGTTTCAGGCTAATGGGAAGAAAATATCTAAAATACACATTTAATTGTTTATTTTATGACACTTTATCTATTTGTGTCTGTAGATTTCAATTACAATTCATGTCTTTAGAGGTTGTTTTCTCAAAATGAGTTTCTTTCTCCACTTCAGTAGCACTTACCTACAACAAACTTTACAGTTTTATTCCCATCTATATTCAGAAGGCTTTTACTGAGTTTGTTCATATATTATTCACACTGATTTATACAACATTTTACTCCTAAAACATGGTAAAAATGTCAACAAAATCAAACAAGAATTTTAAACCAGGATTTATCCAATGGTCAGATTAATCTTCTGGAAATGTATGCACATTAGTGCATATGTAATTAGACAATGCTTAATTTGTATATTTAAACAAACAGTTCAGAAAACTTAGTAATAGTAAAAAATGTTTGCAATTCTTCATGCAATCTATCAACTGGTGAAGTATGATGTCTATTAGTTAATTTTTACCCTAATCACATGTAGTGTTTTGCCAAACTATTTTAAATGATGTATTTGGATGAACTACATCTTCACAGCGCTGGTGAGGAGGATGATGGGATGCAAAGGAAAGAGTGTGTGTGTGTGTGTATGTGTGTGCATGTTTATGTGGTTTATGATATATATATACATACATACATACATATATACATACGTGTGTGTATAAACAAACCTGTTTGTGTGTGTGTGTGTGTGTGTGTGAGTGTGTGAGGAAGGGCAGATCCGGCTCGCTTGTTTCTCGGCTAATCTTCCTCTTTTTTTCCCCATTGACCATACTGCTAATAAATAATGCATGCGTCTCTGTGTGTCCGACCTCTCTCTCTCTCTCTCTCTCTGGCAGTCTGTTATTCTCTTTCTTACTCTCTCGTTTCAGATTTTCTTCCTTTCTTTGTTGCCCTTCCCCCACTTTATTTCAATCCATGCCTTTGGAAATCCATTCCTGGAGGATTTGCAAGTGTATGTGCCAGAAATCAGAGATCATGGAAGGACGCTGCCTTTATCAAGAGCCCAAAGCGTGTGTGTGTGTGTGTGTGTGTGTGTGTGAATGAGGAAATCGACCAGCTCAGAAACACACCGTCCCACTGCAAACCCAACAAACTACATCCACTGAAGGCTGAGCGATAAATAGATATTCATCAATGATATTGCTAAAAACTTGAGAGATATTTAGCCTAAATATATACTGTATAAAATGTTTTTTCGAATGATATGGAAAAACATATTTGAATAAAAGAAGAATAAAATAATTAAAATAACAATAAAATAACTAGAGGTAAGGCAATAGGTTCATACCTCTGAGTATCGTAAAAATAGCAACATTCATTTAATCAGTCAATTTTTACTTGTACGTTCATGTAAAATGTCAAAGCACATATATTTGCTCAGTTACATCTCGTCTCGACAGACAGTCAGAAATGATCATCTATTGAGTATTCCCTTTAACTCTCAAACTAATTCATTAAATGTTGAACCAGTGAAACATGCCCATCCCGATCAAAAGACCTTCTTCACTTCTCTCTCTAGGCTCGGGTCAAAGATGTGAGGCTCATTTAAAGGTCCCATGACATGCTGGTTTTTAGATGCTTTTATATAGGCCTAAGTGGTCCCTAGTACTGTATCTGAAGTCTCTTTCCCGAAATTCAGCCTTGGTGCAGAATTTCAGCCACTACGAGCCAGTCCCACAATGAGCTTTCCTTAGGACGTGCCATTTCTGTGTCTGTAGCTTTAAATGCTAATGAGGAGGAGAGAGGCGGGGCAACTGCCATGCTTCGCTCGTTTGCAAGCCATGATGTCTCTCGAGGAAAAAAAAATATTGCGCTCGCCTCGCACGGTAGTAGCTCATTTTCTCATGGGCGGGCCAAATTCTCTGGGCGGGCAAAGCAGAGAAAGGGGAGGTAACCTTTCCCCGTATGACGACATAAAGGGAAGATTCCGGATTGGGCCATCTGAGCTTTCATTTTCTCAAAGGCGAAGCAGGATACCCAGGGCTCGGTTTACACCTATCGCCATTTCTAGCCACTGGGGGACCATAGGCAGGCTAGGGGAACTCATATTAATGTTAAAAAACCTCATAAAGTGAAATTTTCATGCCATGGGACCTTTAATACATTTATTATAAACTGATTAAAAAATGCATCAAAAATGCAATTCATACAGACATTAAGTTAAATACACCTCTAATTGATTTTTTTTTCTGGGGCATCAAAAAGTCAAAAGATGATGATGATAATAATTATTACATAATATATTATGTAATATTAAAAAAATAAATAAATAAAACAAATAAAATCTGAAATTCAAATAATATTTTTTCAATAATTCTGAATTAATTGAATAATATTCCAAATAATTATTGTTTCTTAAAAATTTTGCTTCAAAATATTATTGTTGTTTTAGCATTTTTGTTTAGTATTATTAGCATTTATTCATATTTTGAACTTCTGTTCTTTCAAGGGTTTTGTTATATTTTCAATTTTAGTGTAAGTTTTAGTCATGTTTTATGTGCTTTTGTCATTTATTTAACAAACATTTTTTTGTTTAGCTTTAATTAATTTTTATTTCAGTTTTAGTAATTTAATAATTTCAGTACTTTTTAATTATTTCAGTTAGTCACCAAGACAAAGTTTATTTGTTTGTTTGCTTTCTTTTTAGTTTAAGTTTTTCCACCTAATATTTATAAATATATTTTATTTAAGATTCATTTGAATTGAGAGAAAAAAAACTTTTTTAAAAGTTCTAGTTTGAAATAAACAATAAAACTGACATGCAGGAAATCCCTTTTTACCAGGAAATCTTAAGGAAACATGTTTGAAAACCATCATTTTTGCAATTCCATGTGGTGGCGCTAGTGAGACAGAAGTTACACACTAAAACTTAAAGATGTTAAAGTTGATCAAGTTGCTTTTTGGACTGCAATTAATATTTGTCAAGTATATATAATCAGTTATTTGGACAAAAAACATTCATTTACATCCTTGCAAGACGAGAAAGTGAATCTGAGCGGTGAAGGTCAGATGTGTTGAAGAGCGTCTCTGACTGATTTAGCAAACACAATGAGGAGAAGGGCTCCTATAGTCCACAGCCAGCAGACGGGCCCCTTCTGTGACCTCTGACCCCCCCTGCCGACACGGGCCTTGTCACGTCTCAAAGCGTGTAATGAAGTGAGTCAGACCGCCATTAAATGACACACACACACGCACACGCTCGCACGCACACACTCGCGCTCACTCACTCACTCACTCACTCACACACACACACACTCACTCACTCACACACACACTCTCTCACTCACACACACACACACACGCTCACTCACTCACGCACGCACGCACGCACGCTCGCTCGCAC